ATTAAACTGAAGCCAATTGAAACATGGTGTTCTTAGTGTTGTGCCACTAGTGCCTTGACGGTTATTTTCCATAACATTAGAGACCATATTTTTAAGGCTTTCCACATCAGACTGGGATCTGTGTTTGTTGGTTACAGTAGGTCAATAATTTTAATGTGCCCAATGTGAAAATTTATTAACTAAGTGCAATGAAACTGAAAATCTTGGGTGGATAGACTAGATATACAGTAGTGATGTATGATAGTTTGGATTTATTGTAGATTTTCTATGGGCAAGAGCAGCACATGATAGTTATGGGGGAAGAAACCTAAAGAACCAATGGAAGGGAACTTTTAGAAAGTTGGGGACCAAGGAATACGCTCCGTCTGTGTGTCCATCCACGTAAGCAAGTTTTTCTCAAGACAAGGTTCAGTATCATACTCAAGCTTTGCAGCACACTCTACACAAGCTTGGAATCATAAATGTTAATTGCAATTTATGGAATATTAATCATGACTTTGACTAAAATAGACCAAAGTTAATCCTGATTGGCCTGTTCTTCATAGTTTTGTCAGGGATATGGATTTAATTGTTTGTATTATGATTCCATTATAATTATCCACTAAATGTGATGTGTAGAATAATTTCAGTGAAATTAAAATGTAAGGGGATAGTTCAAAATATTGTAAGTGTTAATATACTGTACATACCCGGTGCTAAGTAAACCCTAGCTGTTATCTTTGGCAATTTATTTAAAATTATATACTTAGAACTGCCAGATTAATAGATATGAGAGAATATATAACTGTTGAGCAAGGCAGTTTTTGTTTGGTTATCAAGAAAATGTCCCCGTTAAAGAACCTGTCCATATCTGGTCAGTCATATTGGCTTTTCTGATGGTTAGGAAACACTATTGATGCATTCAGATATTTACCTTTTTATAATAAGCTACACTATTTCATGTTATGAGCACTGACCACCTACAAATTGTATGCCTCTCTATGTTAAGGCTTTCTCTGAAACTCAAAAGCAAGTAGATGTCTTTACCAGTTGACTATACCTTTCACAGCCTCAACAAAATCCAATCTGATTAAATGTTTTGGAATTCTATGGTTGATAATTTTGGCTAAAGCATTTGGTTTTACATTTGTACATGGGATCCACATTATTGGGCTTACTAATACTTCACTGTGAACATTTCTGAGGAAGTAGACTAGTTGGGATTATAGGTATTGTAGTACTCTTATTCATTTCTTTACCAGCACCAACACTTTTTGTTCTTGTAAATAATCGAGATTATTAACACCTATACATTTATCAGGATTTTAACATCTGCTATCACTGCAGGTATTGTATTAGGAGTTACTTTATTTCTGTCTTTTTCAGGTGTTATTGTCTGTGCATCATTCTTTATTCAGACTGTTTGTTCTTTACTTATAATTATCTTTGGTAGTATTTACCAAGAGTGATGCACCCAAACCAACTATGTTTGACTTATGTTGTATTGAAGAAAACTTTTTTCAAATATTGAGAAGACCACATTTTACTTGCATGAATTCCAGAGTTTGCACAGAATTTTTATGTTGCAAACTTTTTCTTTCTTAAACACTAATCTACATCCACCTGCAACACCAATTTGCTTATTTACATACACATATTTCCAGTGACCGTTTCATATATACATATACTTCCAGAAAATGTTACATTATAATATTTAAACAATATATAATGAACAAACCTAACCTCATCTAACTTTAAATTAGATAGATTGCCATTGTTCATTTTGGCCAGGAATTTAATTATATATAAAATATTGTTACAAGTATTTTACTGAGTAGGGTAGAGAGCAGCAGTTATGAGCAGAAAGGAGTGGAATCTCTTACCTTGATTGGGGAATATTTTGCAGAATGTCCCTGTGGTGAGATGACTGTCAAATTGTTCTTTCTTCCAAATTTTGGAATCGCATTACAGACGTTCATTGTTCTGGTTAATGGTCGACTTTTCCTTGTCTATGAAGTCTTTTGAATGGTTAAGCGTCTTGTGCAGCAATCTGTTAGTATGGACGTACCTTCTAAGATTCATTAGCTGATAACTTCATTCAATGTTTGTCCAGTCCTGTAAGAAACAAGAACCACAAAACCCTTGGAATGACACCACTGTATTTCCCTGAAAACCCAATGATTTTTATGAATAATCCTTGGTTTACTTTCCTTTACATTAAGTTGTCTCATTTTAGACAATGAATCCAGTTCTTCCGAATTTGCCAGAATTTGTTCCACTGTAAGGGATTACCCGGTAGACCTTCTTTCATGAAAGAACCCCAACCAATATTGATTTGTACATTAAATACACAATAATCCCTAGTGAAATACTACATGATTTCTCTCAGAGCTTGCCCTCATAGGCAGTAACACTTAATGACAACATATTTCTTAGTTGTCTTTAAACTTATTTTCTAAACTACTGTATCTTACTGAAAATTATGTCTGGCATTCATCACAATAATTGAACCACATGTAGGGTATTTTATGATCTTCAGAAGTTTCTGGCTAAATAAAAGGTCTTTAAACCTTTTGCTGCAATTCCCACACTTACCATTTTATTCTGGCTACTGCCAGACGATTTTGTTCAGCTTAGGGTAACCTACCACACCCAATGGGTTATTCCGGCTCCTGTTGGAAATGCACTCAAATAACTGAAAGAATGACCGGTACAGGACATGTTGCGTAATAACAATAATCATACACAGAAAGGTCGCTAGAAGCATCTGTGTGTTTGATATATTGCAGGATTTGTTCGTACATAATCATCACACACAAAAATTTTTGTTGTCAGGATGTTATGGGTGGATGTATGTGAAGTGGATTTCCTCAATGCCCCTGTACAATGTTACAGTATTTGAAAATGAGTGTTTTAGATATGTCACTCTTGGTAATTATTACCTTAACTTTTCTTATTCATATGTATCTTTCCTTTAATTATACTGTATTTATCTTTTCCTTACATGTTACCCCTTTCATTTCCTTGCCCATCCTCTCCCAGTCCCCCACTGCCTGCATTTTCTGCACAAGTCAATACTTCCTGTAATCATAGCATAATTTTGAGATATTTATTGCTACTGTGAAGACTCCTATAAGGGACGAATGAGGACAAATGTTCCTCCCATGTGGAAGTCAAAACTGTGTATGGAATTTCTCACCCTACAGTTTGTTGAACTGGTCAGCAACCAAATATTAGGAAACACACGTCATCACACTTTAAATATCTGTTTTGGTAGATGTAAAAAAATTGGAGTTTTAGGTGTTATCTAAATGTTATGAAAAAGTCTGCGGAAGAAAGATCCTCCTCTTTTAATCAGTCAATATTTAGTTTCTTCCAAAGATTTGTTGACAGTGAAGTTTTGACATAATAGTTTATAGAACAGTCAGACATGGTCTAAACCTCAGTAATAGCCTGTGTCTTAAGTCTATGATTTCCAGCTACCCTAATAAAATATATAATGTATAGCTTGTAGCCTTCATTATTTCTCTAATCTTGGTGATTTCATTGGTTCTATTGTGTAGGGGTTGCACACAGCAGCAAAGTACAAATTTCAACATAAATTATGAAAACACTGTTGCCGTTTACTGTTTACAGCTTTCTTTAGCACAAGTACGGTAATCCCTCGCCAACCGCGGATTTTGGGAATCCACAGTTTTTGCTCTAACTACACCATTTCACCAACCGTAGCATTGAATTTCAAGTATCCACGTTTTAGGGCAGCGTCATTTTCCCTCCGTGTTCCAATGTATTCATCTGCACAGTGTCCAGCCTCCCACCATACACTCTCTGTTATGATCTCGTACCGTGCAGACTTATTGTATTGTTCTGTAGACTGGATATTTATTATGTATTTTATACAGTAATAACATTGATTTTGCTTTTAACTATGGCCCCCAAACGTGCATTGAGTGTTAGTGATAAAGGCGAGAGTGAAGAGGGCATGGAACGAAATGACTAGAAAAGAAAGTTGAAGTGCTTGATCAACTAGCGTGTGGCAAGAGCGTAGCATCAGTGGGACGTGCCATGGGGTTAAACGAATCCTCGATTTGTACGATTAAGAAAAGTGAGGTTGCGATAAGGGCTAGTGTTGCTTGTGGCACCTGGAAAAGTGCAATAGAGTGGGTCTGTGTCCCTCTCTTCCTTATAACAACCACCTCTCTCTCCACATCATCCTCAATGAAGGTAAATACTACTCCATATTCTGGTAAGTTTATACTATATTACTATTATACTTGATATATTTTTTAATACATTGGACTCAAATTTAATGAAATGTACACTGCAGGTATTGTTTTGTGAAAGAGCAGTTAGGCTTTGACATGTTATCGGCAGACATGGAACCTAACTCTCTATTTCCCAAAAGTCGTTAGCCTTACCAACCACGGGGTTTTCCAGGAACCTAACCCCTGCAGTTGGTGAGGGACTTCTGTAATGTAGGGATCTAATGTCCTTAGTGAAACCTCGGTGGAATATCCCTGGTAAATTAACTACAGTATCATGTGCTCAAGATGAAAATAATAAGTTACGTGCTGACTGAAGTTTCCAATTGACCCACTTTTCAAAGTAACTAATTCACTCGCTCACCAAAATTTTTTAACCTTCTGCATGGCCTTAACATTTTAGAGGGCAAAGTATCCCTTCGGTACAGTATTGTAATCTGGCTAACGCCAGACAAATTTTATTCAGCTGAGGGGAGCTCCTGCCCGCTAAAGGATTAGAGCTGGTTTTTGACATGATAAAAGATCATAATTTATTGATAAGTTGCCTTGATTGACAGAAATCCAAATCCTTTAGAAAGAGCTAAAATTTTAATTCTATGAGTTCCATTATATTATGCGAGTTTGTTTTGTAGTGAAGTTCATCTTCTCTGAATTTTCAAATGTTTGTGGTATATCGGGGTGATGTAGTTTTCATTACTTCTCCAGTAATCCTGATGATTTCAATGGGAACATTCTTGTTGGGGTTATTTAGTTGAAGTAAAGACTACAAACATTTATTGTAAGTAGTAGTATGAAAATTCCACCACACATAAGGTACTGTATAGTACAAATTCAAACATTATAAAAATATTCATTACAGTATTACTAAATTTTAATTAAAAAATCATGTACTCTTTACACCTAAATCACCTTCATTCAGGAAATTTAAATAACACAAACATCTAAAACTGTATGCAGTCAGAACAACAAAAATTCATATTATGAAATACTAAGATAACAGGAGTCAAGTTTATGAACTAAAACAATTTGTAACACAAATAAAGTAGAAACTAAGCAATAAACTAGTCACAAGTCCTGAAATGACTGATGTAACTTACCACAAATATCAACACAAAAGAAATTTCAATACTGATAGCAGGGCAACATATAAAAACAACACCCGACATACATTAGCTTATAACAAATGGCAGATCAATTGAGCTTGCACATCTATGGAAGCACATCCACAAGAGTAGTATAAAGTACTCTACAGTACAGTACTGTATTCTAATTGCCAATATGAATGACACTGAAATTTCCTTTCTCCATCAATGGATCTCTTTAGTGAAAATTATTATGTCTAATTCAGTTGTCTACCATACATCACCTTCATACTTCATAATGGCCCACATTAGAAAGGTTTCATAAATATAATCACACAATAAACCAAGTACTGTACTGTATTTTATGTTTTAAGCACATGGTGCAAACCTAAAAACCTTGAAGTAGATTTGTCTGCTCATGTAGTTCAAAATAGAAATAATGTGATGATTCTATTCATGGTGATTTGCAACCATTTTGCTTCCATATTATCCAACAAAGTGCTGTGTCAGACCAAAACTTATTACTCTCTCGTTAATAAGGTTCAGTACTTCCTTTGCCAAGTGAACATTTTTACTCTTCATACATGTTCTTATTTAAAATATTTCTAGTAATCAGAAGCCGATACATCGCTGCATTACCAAGACCATGAAAGTGAGAGCATTACAAGCAGTGCCGATACAAAACTATAGACTACCGGTAAGCCTATGGAACACGAGAGAGCACCACACAAGACCACCTCCACTTTAACTATAAAGTTAGATTACCCATTCACAACTGGGTGGAAATGGGGTGACCTGAGTGTGCACCAGTAACCTTTAAAAGAAGAGAGAAGTGCTGCACCACCGAATTCTCAACCTTTTCTGTGCAAGTCCTGACTTTCGTCTATAGGAGATTGCTGCAGGCCTAACTTTTAACATTTCAACCTTGGTGAGTGCATCAATTCTGCTCCTAGAGTGATTGGGTGTTGCCAGGGGCCCCCAACATATTGGTGTACAGTATATGAAAAAGAAAAAATGGAATCTAGTCTACTCAGTAGTAATGATGACTATATATTGTGCGGGGGGTGTTTGCAAAACAAAATAGTGAAATCGTACAGCTAGATGACTCGCAACCCCACACAGGGAAAACATATGCTGATTTTACATTGTTTTTTACTTTCATAGCTGCTCAGGTGTGTTTTATATTTTTAAAGGTTACTTTGCCCAAATTTTAACCTATATTTTTTTTTTGGGTGTCCTATAGCTGCATGATGGAGGCAGGAGAGTTATGCCACAATGAAACGGTAAATGATGTGTAACTATGTGAAATAATGTGCAGATAAGTATGGTGAAATATGAGATGGTTATGGTTTTAAAAAGTTGTAAGGTTTAATACCAAGCATAAAATAATAGAATATGTTAAGGACGAGACTGAACAATTAAGGTACTATACAAAATACTGAGAAGTACAAGCTCCAAATATGGCAAGATGTTATGGGTCCATACAATACCATGATTATGAGTATACAGTACACGGCCATGAGGTATAGGTACCTGTCCTCGCAATGTGATGTAGTTTAGTACTACCTGGTAAAATTGGTTCAGTATCATGAGCCCAAACAATGAAATTACTACATTAAAATCATCCACTACAAATGCAACAATTTGTGACCATCGCACAACATAGCATAATGTTAGCCCACCATTATAATTCACTCTTGCTTCTTTTCTCTGCATCTGCTTTCTTCCTTTTACCATTTTTTCCTGTATCTTCTTTGTGGTTGTCACCAGAATCACTCTTGACATTCTCCCCAAAGGGTTCAGTGAGGCATTTCTTATTCTTGAGAACTTTCCGACAAACAGCTTCTTGTAAATTGGTCGCCTGTTCCCCAAAATACCATTCATTGATGTCATCTTCATAATCCTCAATGAAACCCTCACACTGTTAAAGAAAGTCCATTATAGTTTTTAGCCTATATCGCTGATCACCATTACTACCTGAATTTCAACTTTATCTAATAAATCACCAGTAATGTATAGCATATCATCTTTTAGTATCTATACCTGTCATTTACCCCTTCACTATGAGGACGCCACTTTTCATGTTTTATTTGGCTAACACCAGACGATTTTATTCAACTCAGAAGGGACCCCATACACAAGGGGGTTAATCCCAAAGAAATTTATTCAACTTCTTGAACTATAAGCAAATTTACTTTATAATTAGAATATACAAATGATGTTACTCCACTGCCAGCAAACCTCACCACACCTGATATTTTCCTTATAGGATCACATTCACTTACACATCAAGATACCTGTACCGGTAAATGCATTGTGGAGTCACACTTCAATAACTCACCTGAGTCTTGAGATGTGCTACTTCTGCTGATGGTTCATCCCACAGCTCTTGAGGAATCCCTAGGTCTACCTTCACTCCTTTGTTTCTGTAACAATTAATGACAATCATGAATATAAATTACTATATTGTATTAAAAAGTAATTCCTATGACAAAAAAATAAAAATTTTAACATATGCCTTGAATGCACTGTACTGTTAATTATTTTTTTTATCACTATTAACACAAAAAAATAAACAAAATTTAAAGATAACTGTAAACATGAGCTTTACCAACAGAAATAATTTCTCAAAACTCACACGAGGTTGTGAAGGGTCTCGAAGGTCTGACTCATTTTTTTGGCCCATCGTGTAGAATCTTTCCGCTCCTTGTGCACACGATACTCAAGCATACCCTCACACACCTCTTCCAGTGTCTCCACCAGTCTCAACTCACTGTACACAAAATCCCCAAAGTTAGTATGTTGCCTAATTAACATACTATACACATACTGTACAATGTGTAATACTCGGCTGCATGAAATACCTACAACTGGAAACCCGATTGTCCACATGAAGGATGTGTACCCCAGAATTCATCTTATAAATGCATAGGAACTGGAAGGGACTTTCTCTCTTCGAAATTTATCTTCAGCTTATGGGATTTGGTTATTATGTCTAATACAAAACAGACAATGCACACCTAATTTTCATAAAACTAAAAAATGAGTTAAAACACTGTCAGCGATGATGGAGTTACATCAAATTACTTACGATTTACTGTATTTTGTCTTTTTCTTCTTGGCATCAATATTATATCCGGTTTCAATGACACCTGAAGAATCTTTGGCCACCAGTCTCTCATTAACCTCTTTGGCCACCAACTTACACACTGAAAATATTGATGAAATTACCCAACTTATAGTAACTACCTATCCAAGGTTAGCATTCCTATAGGTGAAACAAAGCACTCAGCATGTAAATAATGAATATGGTGAAGTGCATTGATGTAGATTAGTGTTCTGGATGAAAACAAATCACAAAATTAATACAGCAATATTCAAACTAAATCCTCTTTATTTTATGGCATTGTCATGTAGTAAGAAGGTGTTTATCACGATAGAAACTTTCTTATAATTCCTGGTAAATGAGTTATACTGCTCCACTGTTAACCAATGATCTTAGGTCAACTAAAATTGGATTAAGTTAGGTAGTTTAGGTTGGCTCATCTTATCTCCTATAAATCATATGAAGCAGTAGTTAGCTGGCAACTTGATCCTATGTATGAAGCAGTAATATGGCATCCTTGAGTGGACAGAACACATTTATTTATAACACTATCGAAGGAAAAACAAAATTATACAAAGTATACAATTCCAATACCTATTGAGGTAAGAATGATTTTATCTTCTATATAAATTTTTCCTAAAGTTGCTCGTCAATGTGGGACCATATCCAATAGCCTTACCTTGAAATTTACAATATTATTTTAGTTTAGGTCATCCTGGGAATATTGAAAATTTAGGTTAGGTTAAATATAGTTCCTGGGTTTTGTGGCTATGTTAGGTAAGGTAGGCTTGGATATCTAAATACATGGATGACCTAAAATATAATTTTACCAAATTTACTTTACATATGCATTAAAAATCATAATAAATCTTGCTGCAACACCAGATTTATTTATCCAGCCAAAAACGATGTAGTACTGTACTATTACAAGTTTCACAAGACATTTCAATTAACTATACACATTTACAAATACGTTCTCATTGCTCTTGCCAGGTTAATATTGCCAGCTATTCCATTTAAAGTCAATTTAAACCTAAAAGAGTAAGCTGACACACTCACCTTCACAATCTGTTGCAAATTTGACACCGTAATCTTCCTCTTCAATGTTTCTCCTACATCTCACCACCTCACAAAGGGCTATTATCATCATTATATAAACCTGAAGCTCCATCACTTGTCGTCTACACGTCCAACTTACTATGAAGACTATCTTAGATGTCTTGATCAATTGTAGTGGCTTCGCTGTGGTAAAATATCAACCTATATCATCCAGGAGGTCATTAATGAACTGTCAAATCAGCTGTGGCCGCGTTGGTTACTGTTGGCATCACTATCATATGGGAGAGTTAAGTTGTATAAACCAAGGCTTGTCCTCTCCTTGATTTCAACATTCTATAGTTTTAAAATTATTGGGTTTTTTACTTCAGCATTACACACAATGGATAAAATGAGCAAATAAATCTCAATAAAAAAAAAGACATTAAAGCAAATAACCTGGGAATTTCACTTCAGGTCATTTATTTAAGCATGTTCAAGGATTATGTGTGTTTAACTATACTTTCTATGTACTGTATTCCTGCACACTCTTATTCTCTTCGCCATTGTGGAATAACATTTTAGAATATTTTTTTTCAGTTCCTAGTTATAAAATTTTGAGTTCACAGATGGTGAGGTTCACATTATCACCTGCAAGACACGCGACCTCCATAATAGATGCCCCTAGAATAGATAAGAGAATATAGCCCACCAAGCTCTAGCTAAATTGTGTCCTATATCTTCATATATATTTTACCCTCATTATTCACATACCATTATCCCGCGGCTAAGAAAGAACAAATATTTATATAAAGCGTCAGTAATGAAAATTCAAAACACCACGAATAATCAACACTGTACTTTACTGTATTTGAAAACCAACTTTGTTTTCGGTTTCTTCCACGACTATTTGTATTAATTATAGGAGAGATATTATTCCAGAGGAGTAAAAGCCGTTATTTAAAGGGCAGTTTAAAGTCCCGCAGAGGAATGTCATCATTGCTCCCTTTAAAAATGACGCAATAAGGGATTATCCTGAACAATCCTTATTATATGACTCGAGGTTAATTCTTTATTAAAATGGAATAATAACTTGAATGAAAACTACAACATTCAGTAAATATATATGTATAAACTGTTAAAGTTCTTCAATATTTACCAACACTGGCAACTCCAAAGCGCGGGAAATCTTAGCGTGGGGAGGAGACTTGTTCCAGGACCCCGGGTTTATAAAGCTTTTTATTTTTCCTTTGTGTCTCCTGCTGACCGTGGCCATAACGCCGAAAGTGACTGGGCAAGCTGAAGATTACTTGGAAAAGGTGTCTGGACAGTCTAGGTATGTAAAGTGCTATATTTACGGCAGATCTGTAAGAGATTTGAGGGATGGTTCCAAAATGGAGACTTTACTGCAGTTGTGGTGTTAGTTTATGAATTGCTATAAAATTATATAGACGTTGTTAAATGATACTTCATGTCTTCTGCTAATAATGATGTGATACATTACCTTTTTATTTGCAAAATGTACACGTGTCTTATTTACGGATATGGCCACAAGGCTTGTGAGAAACGTGTAGCCAAGACTTGTTCTTGAACGTTTTAGTAGCATCCTTATGATTCTAGAGTGTCACTGACTGCTTCTAGGGACACCTTCCTTTGCTACTGTAGAGGTATGGAATAGGTAAATATAAAAGGTCTGTTTTAAACCTGAATTTTTTTTTATTGAGTTTCAGTGGAAAGATTTGTAAAATGTTTTTTTGAATTGCTGTGATGTCCGTCCTTCACGTATTCTTACATTGTATTTAGTCATTTCTTCAATATCTTGATATAACTTGGCAGAGACCTTGTTTATCTGCAGATTTTAGTCTTAATTCCTGGGTGTCATCAACAAGATATCTCGGGAATTATAGTGTTACTAATGTTTGTAGGTAATAATGCCAGACCCTGAATACAACCAGGTGATCATTGCTCTAGGTTATTCAGAGGTCTATCATATCCCAGTCACTCAGCTTGTGTCTGTCCTGTGCCTATATGCTCTCTAGATTAAAAGTAACGGTGAATTTATAGTCTTGCACCGGTTATTCTTTCGCTGTTATTAATATGTTTTTTGTAATGTTTAGACAAGTGTAAGACATTTTTCTTCTATGATATTTCCACAGGGAAATTAAGGATAACCGAGATATTAATTTTTCAATATAATTACATTCGCTCGGTGACAAGTCTCGCCATGTCTTGTTTACTTTTTGTGGGGTCTGTCACCCCCTCACACATCGCGTCTTACCTCTGTCTTCGTTTCTTAAGCATCTACAGCACATGTGCATTGACGACCCAGATGAACCTAATTCTTTTTCAGGTTAAGGTAAGATGTGGGGCATAAAGACTGGTATTGTGAGACTGGTCAATGAAACTAAAATCGTACCCAGGATGCTTCCTTTGAAAAAAATCAAACGTGATTGGTCAAAAAAAATCCACGTGATGATATCGATACCTCATTGGTCACGACTGGATGTCTTCAGTCAACATTGCGCATGAGGGATACGCTGATAATGAAATCTGACAGCACCCACATAAAAAGGGCGGAGCCTAAACAGGTTTCAACTAGGCGCAATCCTTTTCAATTCTTTCACGCCTTGCGCATTGTTTTAGGTCCGATCCAATATACTACCATATATAGAAATATTTTTATTATTATATCACAGTTTTTTATTGCCTTAAATGCCCCCAACTCTTCAATATTATTAAAAATATTCTCCATAAGCGGCCACGATCCGCGTTATTTTCACTGGGAGAAATTGCTGATTGGTTGTTAGCTATTTGTGCCACTTGGGCCCTGCGAAAGGCTAACACCTCATGGAGGTGTTAGCTCAAGTGTCATGCGCACAAATCAAAAGCAGCATCTGCGCATACAGAATCGCTAACGTTTTAGCTTTTCTGTGCATTGAAAATGCCTTACAATAACCGTCTTTAGTATCAGAACGTGTTTATATATTTCGTTGATGCAAACTTTTTGCATAGAGGTCCACAATAAAATCATCTTTTACTTATCCTCTTCACTACTGATCGGCTTGTTAGCCGTTTGGGCGATCGGTCACGTCTCCGTTATGCACTGTTGGCAAGTACTGGGCATGCACTGGCTCCTGAATGTACCTAAACCTGTTCCAGTGTTGGTCAAGTCTGGTCTTGAAAGAACTCACACTTGGTGCTGTAACAACACTTTCTGGTAGATTGTTCCAAGAGTTCACAACTCTCACAACGAAAAAGTTTGCCCTCACAGTTTTCTGGACTTTCGGCTTCTTCAATCTTGAGCTGTGACCCCTTGTGGGGCGAGCGTCCGCCAGCTCCAAGTAAGGACTCTCGACTGAGTAGTGCCCCTTGAGATGCTTATACACCTCAATTAGGTCGCCCCTTGCCCGTCTGTAGTATAAGCTAGGCAAGTTCAGGCGCTCCAATCTCTCAGGGTAGTTGAGGTGCCGAAGTGCAGGCACCAGTCTGGTGGCCCTCCTTTGAACATTTTCAACCAACTGACAGTCCCTAGCATATCTCTCCGACCAGACTGGGTGACAGTACTCCAGATGGGGAAGCACTTCACTCTTGAAGATCGTTACGAGGGACGGACCGTCTAGATATCTGAACGACTTTTTTATAAGACCCAATAATTTATTTGCCTGATTTACCTTCTTCCCGCAATGGCCCGAGAACTTCAGCTCATTGTCAACATACACACCTAGGTCCTTCTCATATTCAGTCTCAAATAGTGCAGTTTTTCCATCCTGTTGGGACATATGATACGCCTCCTTACCGTTGGTGCGACCCTGGTGCATCCTCTTACACTTCGTGACATTGAATCTCAGCAGCCATTTCTTCGACCATTCTTGGAGCTCACAGAGATCCTTCTGGAGCTCTTCACAGTCAGCTTGGTTTTTGATTTCCCGAAATAACTTGGCGTCATCGGCAAACATTTGCATGGAGGAGTGTACAACGTCAGGCATGTCATTTATGAAACAAACAAACAACAGCGGGCCCAATACATTGCCCTGTGGTATCCCGCTGTGACAGGTACGGATGATGATTTCGTGCCATTAATCACCACACACTGCTTGCGGTCATGTAGAAAGTCTTCTATCCACGCTAGGACATTTCCCCGAATTCCGTACCCTTCCAGTTTGATTTTCAGCCTTTCGTGGGGTACACTGTCGAAAGCTTTGGCAAAATTTAGGTATATATTGTCGATATTACCACCCCATTCCAGAATATGGGTCCAAATATCCAATACCTTAAGCAATTGCGTTAAGCAGGAGCACCCCGGCATAAAATCGTGTTGGCAATCCTTTACAAGGTTGTTTCGTAGTAGATGTTCCATCGCGGCATCTCTGATAATACTCTCAAGTACTTTACATATTATGCATCAAAGGCTATAGTACACTCTTATTGTATTGCTTTTAAAAATAAAAATTAATGATAAATTTAAAGCCATATCTTAACCATGGTGGGGGGGGGGTTGGGCTGGCGTATCTCATGACATGTTTAGTATTGCAGCGACCACTTGTCACAAACACATAGTTAGTAATACAAATATGAATTGGACATCAATAAGGTTTTCTTTAAAACAGAAAATTTTTAGAAAAAGATAAGGACAGTTTAAGACTGTCATTTTTATTTATACAATAAAGGACAAACCAGTCTCAAATACAACAGACCATCTTTAAAAGTATAGACCCAGCAACCCTGAGCCATTGGACATAACAATATACCAGTGTGACAGCTTAACCTTGATGCTATATGTTACAATTACAGTACATTCACTGTGTTTGTACCATTGATGAAGCTTCACACTTCACAGGTTGTAGAGTTGGTCTTGCTGGCCAAGATTAAGCCTTGGGTGTGAGGGCAACAGGGTAAGGGTTCATGGTAATTTTAGAAGTGGGCCGCATTGAAAGGCTTCGAGGACTCCAGTTTGCACAGCCCTACTTTAGATGGTATTAACTAATAAAATCGGTACTACAACTTTTTATTTTTATTATAATTTTTGTTCTTTTTCTCCATCTATGATTATGAATCGCCTGTAATGGGCAGGGCATGAAGGATGAGGGAAATTATGTGGTAAAAACACAGAAAAATTGATCATATGACACTTAAATCAGGTCTCTACGTGCTTTGTATGAGAAAAAATTAAATTTTCACCGTAAATATTCCGCCAAAAATTCTGGCCAGTAGGTGCGTGCTGTACTCCAATCGTAAGCGTATATTCTGAATCTGGTCTCCCTTAAACTGTCAATAAATGAAAGAGCATCATATCTTGGATTTTACTACCTTTATTTTAGATTTGAATGCCTTTTCTTTTTTTAGCCTTCACTCTCCAGAGTTGTGTGTATGATCTGTGCAAATCCCATAGTTGTATAAAGTACTGGACTTTGTTACTTATACAAAAGTATTGTTACATTGGCAAAATGTTACTCAAATAGAAGTAAAAGTATCCAAAATTCAATGTAGAGTAAGTCTTTGCTTAACATCGTGGTTCCGTTCCTGAAAACCGCGACGTTAACGGAAAGAACGTTAACGGATTCAATTTTCCCCATAAGAAATAGATAAAATACGGGAGTTACGTTCCCCAGCCTCCCTTTGTTCTCCACCTTTACCAAAAAAGTTTGCCCTAAAATTTTCTGAACTTTGGTTTGCTTGACTTTAAGCTGTGACCCCTATTAGGGCAGGTATCCGGCAGCTCCAGGTATGAATACTCAACTGAATAATGTCCTATGAGACGTTTATAAACTTATATTAAGTCACCCCTTGCCTGCCTACAGTATAAGCTGGATAAATGTAGGTGTTCTAATCTTTTTAGGTAACTGAGGTGCCATAGTGCAGGCACTAGTCTGGTGGCCCTCCTTTGGTCATTTTTGATCAACTGACAGTCTTAAGTATTTCTTGGGGATCAGACTGGATGACAGTATACTCCAAACGGGGAAGCACTTCACTTTTGAAGAGCGTTGTGAGGGATGGACTGTCTAGGTATACAGGTATTATGTTGGTCTTACTTAAAAGATAATTACAGTATTTATAGTACTCGAGTACAAAGTGTAGCACCTAAATGTGAATGTTGAGATTCAGTAAGACACTTCCTCATTATTTAAACTGTTTTTCACCTTAAGTTGATACAGTGAGGGTGTTAGTGGTAATGTGAGTATCTCTCACCTTATGTCATAGGTTCGAGTTTTGCCCAAGACACACGGGAAGGGTATTATCCAGTGTGACCCTACCAAACATTACAGGTTTCCTCCCATACAGTACTAACTAACAGTGGACTAATAAAGTTCAAAACAAATTAACAAAGAACATAACAACTGGCTTAGTGACTAGGAAGTGGTGAAATGATAAATTAAAATTATATGACAGAATTTGTAAGGACAGCACTGTACACTAAATTTGTAAATACAAAATTATCTGGTTTTAGTGTATTTTCCTCTAAAAATTGTGCCAATCTCTACCCACTTTGAGTTTCACGTCTACATTGATGGTAAAATTTGTTTCTGTTGCTGAAACTGTACTGTACTTATTAGCTATTGATGATGTCATAGTGTTATTAATCTTATACATACAGGGTGATCAAAAGGTTGCAGTGCTCTGAATTTAATTTTACTGGGTAGTATTATATTAAATTTTTTAATTACTGTACTATGCATAATATAGGTCTTGAAATATACAGTAAGTTCAAAATTATTTCCATTAACATCATGGCATGCCTAAAAGTATTATTATCACCAGGACTGTGCTTACTGATATAATTGGCAAGTTTCCGTTTCCTCTCTCTCTCGCTGTAATTTTTTAAAATATATTGTGCAGTATTAAGACAAAATGAATGTAGAGAATCAGCATTAAAAGAATTTGTCCTCTAGAAAGTTCACCATATCATTCTATACTGTACTTTATTTAGTTTGTATTATTTGTTTTTGTCTTAGGGTTGAGGAGCACTCGACAAAAGTGACAAAATGTTGCGAGCGAATGACCTGAGTGACTATGAGCTGCTGCGAGAGAAGAATATTCAGGACCGTCAGCAGCTGGTGAGTACATGATAGATTTGTCCACAGTTAATCATAGTTCCCATCTGGTTATGTACAATACCTTGATAATGTGTACAGTTTTATCCCTGATACTTTGGTTATGCTTCATCTTATTATTTATTTGTTACAGTAATCTGTTCTGGGGTTTAATGAAGCTTGTGTTGTCATTTAAATAATAGTAAAAAAAAAAGGCAAAGCTAACCATAATAAATTTGCAAACATTAGGTTATTAACTATAGCTGAACTTTCTCAACTTCATTGTTTGTTTTCAACTTTACAAGAAATCGGTTTTTATATACAGTACAGTATGCCTTCAAATTGAATTTTCTCTTAATAATTGTGTGGTTGTTTCCCTTAGTAGCTACTGTATTGGGCCAATTGATTACTAAGTCTCAATATTGATGTTTGTAGGAAGTCTGAAAAATTTCTACCTGAAGGGAAATACTGTATTGTACTGTATATTAATTGTTGGAATGGGTCACAGATATGTTTCAGTTTGGATTTCGTACATTCTGAAGTTCTGTGATTTGGTGATAGGTTATGTTTAATACTTGGGGCTGCCTTGTTGTAGAATGGCAGTATATATACAAGAGTAAGGCCTTGTATACTTGTTCTTGATTCTGGACACCCAACTAGAATAAGGAAAAGAAAAGTTGGCTTCCAAAATCTATAACTACGTATTGACCGTTTCTCATCTGGTAAAAATCTCAATATTCTGTACTGTGCATCCCATTGTGCACATTACAGTATATCCTCCTGGACATTCTATATATTATTTACACTTGTTTCCAGATTGCTGCTCTCATGAAGGATTTCCAGGATTTCCAGGATTCAGTAGCATGTGTTAAACCTGCAATACAAACCAAACCAAAGCATAAGAAGACAGATGACACTGATGACTGGTCTCCTAAACGTCAGTATAAGAGAAGAAGCACCAGTAGATACCAGCCATACCACTCGCCACCACGAACTAGGTATCAGTGACAGCTTATTAGTAATTTACAGTACTTACTGTATTCGGTTTCTAGATCTTGCAAATTAGAGAAGCTGTTTTTGTTTTTTTTACCTATCAATGGATTCTTCTTTTGTCTTGCTTATTACCAGGTGTGTAGTATGTAGGAACTTTTCAAAGTGAGGGGCAAATCATTCCATTTCCACCACTGTTGATGTCTTTTTTAAGGTTTCTTGGTGATGTATAATAATTCTTGAAATTTGTACAGTACTACATAATTCATATGGTAAGTAAGATGCTCTTGTGTCACCCAAGGTTGCAAACTCCACCTGTTTTTGTCCCTTTACAATTTTATCTAATCCATAAGTACAGGGCACTTTCAAAAGCTAGTGGACATGTGTGATTGTCATTGCTTGATACTTAATACAGTTGGAAATAAATTTTATTTTAATTGGGGCTGTGCAATTTTGCCCCCTGGACAATCAAGAATATTCTTTGCTAAACTATTCTGATTTGATTATACAGAATTAAGTTAATTACCAATATTCAGGTGTAGGATTGAGGGATGGTTGTGGGACATCCATCAGTGCAGATACTTTTTTGAATATCCTAAATAGCTTTGTGAAAAATCACACTACTCTACAGGTAGTTTGAAATAAAATTTTAGTTTAGAGTCGTCAAATTTTAATATATTACAGTTGATATTTGTGCATTTTTGTAAGGATATAAGCTTTAAAAAGCTCTATAAGAATTTGGAATAAGATATGAAATTGGATATACAGTATTGTAATCGAAGGTTATTCCGTTCATACATATAAGACTCTTAGCTTTGTCTTGCCAGCTTTATAGATTGTGTAAACCTTTAAATTTAAAGTGGGTAAGCCTTGGTCTATCAGGTTTTTGGTTTAATTTGTTTGTGAAACTCTTTTAAAAATTACACTCTTTTGACCACAGAAACTGAATCAGTGCATTCAGGAGTATATTTGTTGAAATTGTGAGGAAAATTTGATTTGTTTTTTCTTATAATTTTCAAAGCTGTGACACATGAATGGTGTAAATGACTGAACTTGAGAACATTACAGCTAGATATAAATTAGTTTGGTTGCATTTTGATTCAGGTTTGTTGTACTGTACTTGAATCTTTATATTGTTTATGATAGCTATAGTGCCCATGGAGCCCTGTTGTTGACAGACCTATGCTATTGTGAGTGTAGCTTCACCCTAAGCCAAAGTTCACAGTGCCAACCCTCTTGGGGAAGTTTATTTTGCAGCTGCTGTATTTGTCCCTCAGAGTGTACATCATATATGAACACTGCAACTAACTTTGTCATACAGAGTTTTGAAAAAGATTTGATTCATACTTTACAATTTGCCTCAAGAGTGGTCAAAAATAGTATGTGGCATTTATAAGTTTCGGTCCACAATATATGCTTCATTGTGCTTGGTTCAGACTTGACAAACACCCATACAGTGTGTGTGAACTTGGAAAAAAAACTCAAGCCAACACAAGTTAAGGTAAAAGGCAATCAGGATATAAATACAGGCAAAAGGAATATTTTATCAATCCAATAACCATTTCTTTTGTATGTAAAATTCTTATATATTACTAAGAATGAAAATGTATACACTATAGTGGAACATGGAACTGGCTTATTGAAAATAGATTTGTTAATAAACTACTGTATTTATCTCACGTAGGTTATGAACTTATGGGAAGGGCATTTCCAGTGATGCTCTGGTTTTGATTCTTTTCATCCAATAGGCCAGTGTAGTAAAAGAATGGTATTTATAGTGATCACTGCCCTCTAAAATTTAAATAATTACAGTAAATATATAGTAACATTACAGTATTTTTAAACAAAGAACCTCAGTAGTGGCAGACACCTAATGACCTTCAAAAATGGACATTTACACTAAAGTCTTGATAGATGTTAAGCAGGAGAGTCTGAGGAACTAGGGGAGTTTTGAGGATCTGTTTAAGATGTGAAAGTGTGTTATTCTTTTGAGTTAAATAAGAGGGTATTGACTTTGGTTATAGGAGCAATGCTGTGTATAAAGTGTGACATGAAGGAAGTATTCCAATATTATTCTAAGCTAACATCTCTTAAACAGATCACGAAGAGGAAGTATCAGCTCATCTACTGTGAGTTCACCATCAGACTGGCAGCAGCTGGATGATGAGGATCAGGAGGAGGCTCGACCGCTCTTCCTCAGGTTTCGTTTCAAAAAAGTCCAAGAGATCCTCAGTAACATCTCAGATGCAGAAGAGTCAGATGAAGAGGATGTTAAGTGTTATGTTGAGGTTAGTGTCAGCACAAACTTTCTTAACCAACTTTACTTATACAGTATAAAGTGATTGGAGTCTATGGGACAGTATTGTATTTTAAGCCATTTTGTTTTATGATACATTTATAGGAACATACAGGAAGGATTTTAAAATCTCCATAGCACCACATTACTGAATTTAAATATTATTGCCAGAATTTTTATGGCTTAACTCTTGTGTATGGGGTTACCTCTGAGCTGAATAAAATTATATGGCATTAGCCAAATAGATTATTGAAATTGGCATCACCTTTAGTGAAGGGGTTAATGTAAAACTATTGTCAGGTTTGTTTCTGTTATTGGTACACACAGTAAAAAAGTACCGCACGGAGTCTGTACGAAACAATCCGACACCACGGACGAGGGATAGTGGAATATGTGTGTAAGATAATTAATGTAATGGTGTTGATGATATTATACCAGTCCTGGGGACATACCATAGGTAGGTGGAAACCTTTGCCATACAGGCACGCACACCAACCCTCCCGGCACACCAGGTGATGTATGGATCATTACAGAAGTTAGCAGACCCCCTCCCTACACAATATTTTTTTTTTTTACTGTGTGTGTACATATATGATGAATAGAGGATTATTTAAATCAAATTGTTGAGGAAGACCAAGGTGCAGTTAATGGTGCGAGTGAGTATGAGGACAGTACTGGCTGAAGTTGCTGATATGAAATTATAATTTCTCGAGAAAATCTGTATGAGGAAACCGTCTTTGAACACTCAGAGATCATTTTTTACCTTAACTATTGATAATTACTCTGTTGGATAATATGATAAGGTTGTCAGTAGTTAAATAGAAACAGTTATAGAATTTTTACCTGCTATTTACTTGCCTTATATTCTTCCAGGATATGGATGTGAATAAAATGAGACGAGCCACCCGTGATCTGTCCTCATCGTTCAGTCTGTCTCCTGTGAAACGCACCAGTATTGGAAGCTCTAACAGTGGTAGAAAAGGGCGTGGAAGAACCAACTGTACCTTTGATCCTAATGTAAACACTGTCATGCCAGAAAACATTACTTCTAAAGATCTGAGAAATGTTTCTGATCGCAGCGGAACAAAAATTTATAATGCTAGCATTGGAACTACATGTCATCAATGCAGGTGTGTTGTGATGTTATAGGTAATGAATTGTTTAGAACAAAGTTTGGTTTCAGTGGTTTAATTAATTGTTAATTAAGATGATAAACATAATTACCTTTGGTTTTGTGTTCATTGTGATAAAGCTAAACTTATTATTTTGAATTGACCAGTGAATCCATCATCTAAATTGCTTATTTTGTTCATGTTTGTTTAATAGACTGAATATCAAATATTATTATATAATCCATTAACCAGTCTTCATCCACCTTACTGTGTGTGTTTATCTTTCTACTACTGCTGTGATTGATATAACCCAAGTAGGTCACCTGTTGCTGGATCCACCATCCTAACAAGCATCATTGAAAACATAAATGTTATGTGAGAATAATTTCTTTTGTAGGAGTCTGTCTCAATATGTATTTGTGACCTGATTTTTAAAGGGCTGCAAATATTAGTTATTAAAAGTCAGAAACCTTGATTGTCAGAATGGACATAGAATAGGTAAATGTTGGCCTTTTTCTGGAGTCTCTTATATTTTACTTGTAAATTCTTCTAAGGTTTCAGGTATTGTAAATTCTCCTAACATAGTATTAACATTATTGTTCTTGTATCTTACTGTATATACACTTCTTAATTTATAATAGTATTAATGTTTTATAGTGTACACATCATTAATGTAAATGATTTGTTGGCATGTGAATTATGTTTTTAAAATTATTTTTGTATTTTAGGCAAAAGACAATTGACACAAAGACAGTTTGCCGTTCTGGTGAATGTATAGGAGTACGTGGGATGTTCTGTGGACCATGCCTGAAGAACAGATATGGAGAGGACGTCAGAGAGGTGCTACTTGATCCTGTAAGTAAATTCTTGTAATAGCTTGGAGGTTACTGTACATTATTTTGAGAAGTATTTGATTTTCAAAAAGGATAGACTAATACATACATTTTTAGTTCAGTGAGACCTCAGAAAAACAATTTGGGTCATTTGTTGCATTTGTTGTAGTAATGTGGGGTAGACCTCGCAAATTCATGCTATATGGTATCCTACCCTGGCTGATTTTCCAAAAGGCACGGATTTCCTGAATAAGCATTAAAAACATAAAACAATACAGTTTATACATATCTTATCATAAAATACAATAGCATATATTTTATGTAAAAAAAAAAACAGCTAGAAGGGATCACATAATTTCTTTGAAATTTTTGGGAATGAATGCATGTGTGAAGGGATACCAAGTCTTCTCTTTTTTACCTCCCATGTTGTTACAGTACTTTGTTTTGTTGTGTGGAAGAATATGTCTTATCACTTATTTTTTTAATTACTGTTCCACATTTATGTTGGGTTTATCACAGGATATAGAGAGCTCAAAGATAGGGGACTAGAGTGGTGCAAGACAAATGAAGACATTGACAGGAAGGTTCTGTGATAACAAGTAGAACATAATGCTAAATTTTTATCTCTTTTAATCTTTTTGGTTTTATTTACAGAAGTGGATGTGTCCCCCATGTCGAGGTTTGTGTAACTGTTCCATATGCCGTAACCGGAATGGGAAAAGTGCTACGGGGATTCTCATCAATATAGCCAAGGCTCGTGGATTTGACAATGTGAAGGATTATCTTGAAAGTCTAATAAAGTAATGACCTTGAAAGTATAATGTGTAAGTGTGATGATGATGATGATTAGACTAAAAAAAGTAGTAATTCAACCGAGCTAAAGGTGGTTATTCATCCACCAAAAAAATCACATTTAATTTTTTATGTTTTTACATGAATACTGTATTAAGAATATGGTAATCTCTAAAAAAGCTGAGAAATATATTAGAAAATAGTAGTATATTCTGCTTATGTACCAATGAAGGTAACAGTAGAAAATAGAATAAATTTAGATGGGAATGCAAGTTAAAAGAGACAAGAAGTTCAGTACCAGCAGAGGAAAATACTCAATATTTTTCACATCATGACAAGAAAAGATATGCGAGACTACATATTACATACTGGTGAACTTGAGTTACCTCTGCCATATATGTTGTGTGTGTTGTGTATAATTATCATCATCGCCACCACCATTTTAAAAACATTTTTCACGCTTGCGTGGGTTATTCTTGATTACCTAATGGCTTGGTGTCCCAGTTGCCACCAGGCATATTTTAAGCAGGATGTCGTTCCTATCACCAACCCATTTTTACATGGTGGGAATTGGGCATTATACACTACGTATATAGAATTTCCAAGCACCCTCTTAGCTGGCAAGGCAGGGTTGCTACTCAATAAGTTAATCAAAGATTACCAGCCTACTGATACCTGTCAGGATTTGCTTGTGTACAGTATATATATGAAGGGAAAGACTTAACATATTTTTCTTTGCTTATTAGTTCAGATGAGCATTTTACTCAGCATTTGATAATATACATTATTTGAATACAGGTATTTGAATCATATAGAAAGATTACATTTAATTTGATGCTGGGGAAATGTTACCTGTCAGTTAATGTGATGCTCAAGGAACTAGTCATTATCTTACCTTGTGCATATAATGATCACCTCCATTGAAATGTATTTGATTTTTGGTTGTGTGAAGTATCCCAAGTCAATAGAGAACTGCCTGTTTTGCACTAATAGTAGCTGAGACCCAACATGCATGCTAGGTACTGGAATTTTGAGGAAGATGTGGTGTACAGTCCTCAAAAAAGTATCATTGATGTGGTTTTGTGAGCAGTGTTAGTCTACTAGTTTTGTTACAGTTGACACCAGGTATACACTAATATCTGCTATGTGGATAAAATTATTTGGAACTACCAGAATTTCAAAATAACTAGTTAATAAAGTTTTGTTTTGCATATACTGGTAGTTTATAAATACCCATTCTACACTTATTGCTGACATGGGGAACAGGCATATCAACATATGACGATGCTCTGGATAATATATCACAGCATTTCGTTCTGTAATTCAAATTGTTAAGATGGAAGAATATAACAATACTTTTAGGGTGACTGTACATGACAATGCTGCCACATGTATAGTGAGTGTGTTAAACGACGATGATAAGATTGCTGATGATATTGCATGCTATGTGACAAAACAGGATTTTTGGTTAAATGGTACATTATTCATAATTTTTGCAGTATTTATAGTTAAAAATGATAGTACAGAGTACTGTATATCACAACACTTAGACTTAAGGTGGGAATACTGCATGCAGAGTGTGATGACACTTGATATTTTGGTGTAAGATTATGCATAAGCTGCCATTGTTTTGGTGTAGAAGGTGACTTGTTTTATATTGGGATACAGTTGTCAGGAACAAGTAAGTAAAACAGGTCAATGTGTCATGCAAAGCCACTGATGATGATTAGTTTTGTAGGTGTTACTATTTGTAAGAATACTGCACCTACTTTTGTTTATTCAAAGAATGTTGGAGGTGCTGCCTGGTATTGATTATAGTGTTCGTGAGCTGTCTTCAGCAAATTCAGTTAATTTTAAGTGATGCTTTAGAATGATTTAATTTTGTTGATATATTTGCTGTCTGCATAATGAAGACTGGGCAGCAGAGCTGCTCCAGTATATAAACTGTACAATAATATGATGTACTGTATTTTAATACAGAAATTTCCAAATGTTTTATGGAATATTTTTCCTCCACATAGTGTTCTCATATATAGTCTATTTAGAAAATGAAAAAGATTTTAGATGTCATAAGTATAAAGATCTATTTGTAAATATTGTTAATTATGTATACAGATTTTTAATTCTTAAGTACAAAATTTTAGATTTAAGTTTTATTACCATTAATATGAGTAATGAAAAGATGTATGGCTGAAAATTGCTTCAGCTACACAATTGATGAATTGACCAAATTTCACCGATTTTCTTGTCAGCTCAGACATGTGGCTTGGTTGCTTGGTTAATAAGACACTAACAATTCCCTCAACTGTTATTACCACATCATAGTGTACTGTGGACATTAGTACTGGTCTCTACAATCTCTTATGATTTATATTATGCAGCTGTAATATAAATCATAAGAGATTGTAGAGACCAGTACTAATGTTTGCAGTACAATAGTTGTTGACAGACTGGTGCCAAAACTGTATTTGTTTGTGTAGTAGCACTACATGAGGTGTGAGCTGCCAGTTCTCACCATGTCTGAGGTTACAGGTTGAAGGGGGTCTTATTTTGATTGGCTGTAATCTAATGTAGTGATTAGGATTGGGTCTTACTAGGTTGGGCTCCAATCCTATGGTTAGGTTAGGTTGGGGTCTGTTTCATTAGTTACCATAATTCAGAAGGGTTTTCATGTCATGGGAGGTTACTATGTGTAGTACTGTAGTACAGTATTCTTGGATCACAAGATTAGACATCTCAGATTATTTTGCCTGATAAATTAAACACCCTATTGCTAACCTAACCTAACCTAACCCTTCTAGGTATCATTAGTGTGTTGAATCATCATGGGATAAGCTGGGGTGCCTAATCTTAATGTGGTCCATATTTTTGTCTGTTAGTACAGTAGTGAATATTTCCAAAATGTTTTATGTAGTTTATGTCTAACATGAACTTGAATTTAATTTTTTTTTAATTTTTGTATTTGTGTAGAAAATTTGGTACAATAAACACATTTTTTGTTACTGAAGTAGTTTGAAATTAACATTTAATGGATTTTGTAGTTTGTATGTTAGAATGATAACTAAATGTGAAGTATCTTGATGAAAATTGTAGTTAGTGAAGGTATTAATTATTAATCTCATTAACAAAGTGTTAGTGTTATGAGTCACATGTTTGATAGAGTTTGTCTGTGATCTTTAGTAACTGGTGGGATATTTTAGAGTTTAGACTAGAGATAGACAATTTCATATCATCATCATCATCATTATCATGTCATCACAGTAGTAAAATTTTAAGTCATCACAGTAGTAAAATTTTAAGCATCATTCTTACCTTAGATCTTATTAGGAAAACTTTGTCAAATCTCTGGCCAAAACTGTTTAATTTCCAGTTAGAGTATTGGTATCATCTCTAGGCTGGGTGTGGTGGTGTGATAGCAACCTCCTGGACTCAATTGATCAACAAAATGCTTCCAGCAGTGCACATTCACATGTACTGTTTATCTCATTACTCAATTGATACTGAAGACCACTATTAAACTGGAAATTTGGATAAACAAGACCAACTGGCCTTTCAGATCACATGAAGATTAGCACCTCAGCTTGTTTCACTTTAAGATTAACCACCATAACCTAACCCCCCTCAGGTAGCTTTAGGGTGTAATCAAGTGAAATAAGTAGGGGTAACTATCTTCATGTGATCCTTTTGGATTTTTTTGAGGAAATTGGATTTTTCACAAAAAGTAGTTGGTGTACTTTGTCAGTTTATACCAAAACTAAAGAATTGGAAAGATACATGACAATTCTGGATTAAAACCAAGATTATTCTGGTGTATTAGGCTGCCATTGGTGAGTGTCACATGTTCACACAGGTTGTGGGTCATCTCAGTGGATATAGGTTGTTTACTATGGCACTACCAGTAAATCCTTTTTGTGTGTGTTTAATACTTCCTAGTTTATTACCATGGTGAGTGCAAGTGGTAATGGTGGTGGGGCAAGTGCAGAAGGATACAAGTACTGCTCATAAACTGAAAAGGATAAAGCCTCACTGTGTTTGATTTGGAGGTACAGTACCACCCAACCTGTCACAAGACATCACACATATGCCAACTCCAACAAAGTGGGTATTCTTCCCCTGCACCTCGGCTTTGGTGGAGAAATAAACAGGTTAGCTCATTTGAATTTTATGTTTTGTTATGTTTTCTCGATTAATGTTATGTCGGTGTATTTATTTTTATGTTTAAAATCACATGGATAACAGAGTCCAGTAAATGTTTGTAAAATAGCTATAAATTATTTTATTTTATGGTCTGGAAAACACATCTTGTAGAATCTAGGCTCCATTTTCCCAAGTTAGTTTTGTTTAATGAGGCTTTACTGTATTTTGAATCACCAATTATACTCTACACTCATCAGTCTTTAGCAAGGGAAGACCTCAATAAATAGACCTGACTGTGCCATTTCCTTCACTTGTTCCATTTAAAAAGATAAAAGAAAGGCATGAGAACTAAAAGCTTAAGTGGGAGAAAACTGTGATGATTCAAGAGGGCATCAGTGACAGGCTGCAGAGTATTCGAGTCTATGAATTAAAATAGGACTCTAGATTTACGATGGTAATTTAAATTTCAATAAAATCCTCAAATTTTAAAGTAGTAGCAGTAGGAAGAGAAAGAGGTGAGAAACTGTATAATGGCTTGAGATAAGACAAGACAATTTATGGTTCGCTTTTATTTGCTGCTGCTGATGATGATCTAATGAGAGTCACCTTCAAAAGACCTACCCGGGAGAGACAGCACAGTATGTAAGTAATAGTTAGCGACAGTTAAGGAATGGGACAGTCAACAAAGCAGCTTCAGATAAGTTTATTATGCCATTATACTTAGTTCAGAATTGCTAAACTTTTAACTACTGTACTATTTTTTATTATTATTTTTTTTTATTTGATGTAATTATTCTCATTATTTTTTCTCTTACTCTTCATTCTCTTTCTCTTGTTTTTCTTTTCTCTCTTCTTTTTTTATCTTTCGCTCTTTTTTCTTTTCATCTCTCTCTCTCTCTCTTATCTTTCTCTTTTCTTCTCTCATCTTCTCTCTCTCCACTTGTTTACTTCTTGCTGGACCACCTCATAAAACCTGCGAGCAATACAATATTTAGCCCTTCCAGATTCTCGTTGACTTAAGACTAGCTTCTCCACCTCACCCTGTTTGATAAAGAATTCAGGATCATACTGTTAAGTGTTTGTTGGGACCCTGGATATGTGGGTATTCTGTGGATGTTTGGGTATTCTCTGAGTATGTGGGTATTCTCTGGATATGTGGGTATTCTCTGGATATGTGGGTATTCTGTGTGGCTGTGGGTATTCTCTGTGGATAGTGGGTATTCTGTGGGTGTGTGGGTATTATCTAGATATGTGGTTATTCTCTGGATATGTGGGTATTCTTTGGATATGTGGACATCAGTTGGCATGTCTTTAATATACAGGTACAAGATGGAATTGTTAGGAAATATGGGGGTAAGAGTTCCTGGATATGTGAACGTGTGTGTGTGTGTAATAATGATAATAATTAACGGTTTATTGAAAGAACACTGTAGCTAAAAGGCTGAAAATATACAGTTACATAATTGGGGAATGGGTCAGTTTATTGACACATGATATATAATTAACTTAAGTGATACAAATATGATAAATAATAACAAGGTGGGGAGAAGGTCATACTTTAAGGCATTTCAACATAGTAACAGTATAAAAAGTAAGATTGGTTGGGAGCGAACACATTGGTTGACTACGAGTTGTTGATAATTAATTTATACTACAATGGTTGGTACTGGACTGTTCTTATAAAACCTAATACGTGGTCGTATGGGCTGAATGCGGATGTATGTGTGTGTGCGTCTTTTTTGTATGGGCCATTAACAATTCTGGGGTAAGGCATAATCACCGCCTGGGTTCGTCAAGGTAACACAGCTCTGCCAAACAATCAGTGAACGGGTCTTGTGGTAGGGGGGGGGGGAGGTTTAAGAGAGGGAAGCCAGGTAAGGTGGGGAGGACGCAATGAGAGGTATGGAGGCGGGAAGGATGGGATGAGGGGGGGTCGAGAGACAGGTGATAAGGGAAAGAGTTGGGGGTGAAGTGGATGAGGAAGAAAGAAGTGGGAGAGGTGATAGAGAAGATGAGTTAAAAGGGAAGGGAGAGGGCGTAAGATGAGTGAAGCAGAGGAGGATGAGGATAAAGTTTAGGGGTGATGTGGGTACTCGGTGTGTGTGGGTGGGTAAATTTGTGGGCGTGGGTGGATTTGTAGGTTAGGCTGGGTTTGTGTGTATGGGTGGGTAGGATTGTGTGTGTGTATGAGTGTGTGTGAGTAAGTGTGTGTGTGTGTGTGTCAGTCAATCATTGTCCCAGAAATAGTGTTAACAAAAGTCAAGGTGTATCATACTTGAACTCGCTAGTGTTGTCACCACCATCAACATACTGCACGTCATATGTTGACCGTGACCCAACATGACTTAACGAATCTTACACGTCTCACCTAACAAGCTGTCCACGATGTCCTTTTCATGAATCCATTATTTTTTTGTGTATTAATGAAAAGAGTTGGGCAGGTAAAAATAATAACAAAACACGTAACCACTAGACAGGTGTAAACAGGTAACAGCTTCTAATATTCTGATGACACGGTTAATCAGTTCACTTCATTTTCCTGGTGGTAGTTCAAGGAGCTGGTGGTGTATTTGTTGTCTTGAGCGTAAAGAGAAAACTTTGATATATCTGTTGGTTTTTAACTTTATAAGGTCGACGACTTTTTACTTAGTTATTTGAAGTTGTGAAGTGAGGATTATTGACACACTGTAAGGATCGCTATGACACATTGTGAAGGATCATTATGGTACATTGTAAAGGATCACTGACACAGGATCATTATGACGCATTATAAAAGATCATTGTGGCACATTATTAAGGGTCACTGACGTTGTAAGGATCATTATGACAGCAAAGATTATTATAAAAATATAGAAGTACAAATGAATGAATCCTGGACATGTTAGAACAGTGTTATAGAAAAGCAGGCACAATATATTAGGAAACGGGCACATTATACTAGAACTGGGATATATTAGAACAGGTTATATTAGAAATGTAACATATTATAACAGATATAGTATATTATTAAGAGTATAACGCAACCCAGTGGAATCTCCTATGAACGACCGAGTCAGTCAGGGAGACGATGTTTTGATGTAATTTTATACTATAGACGAGTGAAGCTTTGAAGAATAGATTATATAGTTTTAGTTTTATTTAAGTCTAATATATGACGAAGTGAGATGTAAAATGAAGTTTAGAAAAAATAAATTATTGATTGAAGTAAACATTATGTTAGGTGAAACGTGTCGTGGTGGTAGCTGGCTTGTGTTAACGCCCTCTTGAAGGTTACCAAGAGTGTACTTATTATTTATATTTTGTGTGCTTTCAATTTTAATACAGCAGTGAGAATTGCGGAGGCTGTTGGTGAGGGAGAGAAAACCATTTTTTACTGAATGCTAAAAATTTTAAGTGGATGATTTCTTAACCAATTTCTCGAATGCAAGGATATGATTGGTAATTTAATTTACAAGGGTTGAACGAAAACTGCTCGTAGCTTGACTTGAGCAATTGAGAATGACCTATGTGTCAGGCTAACACCATCCTAATAACCCAAGTTTGTGTCACAGGACTAGTTCAACTCTTGATACTTGTGTGATCTTGACCTTAAAAATCAAACTATAAATGAATAAAATATAAATATAACACGAAATTTCTCTTGTTGGAAAGATTATACAACTTTTTACAGTTAGAATGGATGCTGTGTTTCAGTCATGTCACAGGTCAGTAGATGTTGCTCATAATTCCAACAGGTGCGAGTCAGACTGATGTAGGCTACGGGTACTCGACTTTAATTTCAATTAGTTAAATATTAATTCCTGCGAAAATCATAACTCCAGACCTCAATTTTATTTATTTATTTATTAAAGATTCATTCGGTTGGGCACATTTACAGTGGTAATAATAATTAAACAAGAAGAACGGCCATTAAAACTATACTGTTTCTCTCAAAACTATTGTGATGAAGATTGCTATTGACAAGAATTTAACCTAACCTAACTTAAACAACCCAAACTTCACCTATCAACATTTTTTACTTATCCTAACTTAACCTAATTTAACATAACCTATCCTAACCTAACCAAATGTCCCAACTAAATACTGTTATGTGTATCGTAATAAAGACACTTCCATCTACAGTACAAATTAAGCACATACGGTATATAAATCAACCTTTCATATAAACTTAAAGCTGAAAAAAATATCGAATGTGAAGTTTGCGTTAAGTAACAGTCACCGCAGTTCAACTTGGTGAATCTCCTTGACAAGTTTATGGGTCATAGATGTAGTTCTCCCACGTAAGTGCTTCCCTCTCGACTTAGCGTGAGATTATAGGCGGGAAACTTATGGTTATGGTCAATTATTCCTGTAGGAGGGAGGGCCCTGGTTGAGTTCCTGTCATTAACCCACCACGGAGATCTTCACTAGAGGCCGGAGGGAGGCACTGTTGCTAAATTTGTATACGCTGAAGCCTAGTACACGTGTTTACCATGACCCTCCTTTCCTTTTCGTCACTTTTTGTCCGTTTGAGCGTAGTGGGTCGGTGTCTTCTCCCAGTTTGGATACGTTTAGGTCAACTGCACGTGACCCTAGCTACAACCAGCTTCAGGTCAACTCTCACACCCTCTCTCACTACACCCTCACTTGCCCTGTGACCTCCTCCTACAGGCCCCCAGCCGTTACCAACACCTCTTCCCTTCCTGACCAGATATCCCTCCTCCTAGTCACAGGCCTGGCACTTGACATTATTAGGGACTTGCCACACTTTGCTATAAACATATGAAATGTACCGGGAATTTCCCCCCCACACACTCATCATTCTGTCACTTTATGTAACTTGCTGACAAAACTCATGACCCTTCAGGCTTCCACGCCTTTAATGCATGAGTCATAAAGGCAAGCATGAACTTAGTATGCTTCCCAGTTGGGCACTGTAAACGTTTCTGCGCTTTACCTTGCACAGGATGTAAGGGGTGCCCAATAAACTAGCCCCCTCCAGGGCAATCTGTAAATCTGTCAACTTTGTGTGTGTCAGTGTTTGTTGGCAGTTATTGTTTAAAGTGGAAGCTCCTTCGCTGTGGGACTGTTCTCTTGGAAGACATTCCTTGGAATTTTGTAATAATATATTTTGTTAATACTATTGTTAACAAATATTGGATCACCTGTTACTCAAGTTTATTTTTCATCTCATAAAACAACGCTACCAGGGGGGGGGGATTATGATAGTGTCCGTGAAATTAGCTGTGGGTGTCTAATCTTCAGGTAATCCCAAATATCTCTCTGACATTTACGAAGCAACACGCGCACACCTACAAACACCCAAATACTCCCCTACATAAAAAAAAAACCCACAGAAAAAGCATTAAAATAAATATCAATAATTTAAAGACAATGTTACTTCTCTTACCTCATAACCCAAATCACTGCCGGAGCCAACACCGTCACTTTCGTATAAGGGCTAAACGTTATCTCATAGCACTAAAAGCTTTGTCTTAGCAAGAGGTCAGCAGCCCTCACAATCCTGCCTATCAAGTTAGCTCACCATGCACGAAGCAGGATTTTGTTTGTAAATCGTTAAACGTGGATTTTTTTTAATAATTCCCTTTCACATTTTACTTTTCAAGCTTGGTAGTTTTTTTTTTAATTTCAAGGTTGAAGTAAGATTTCCTAACACGAGTAAAATAGTCGTATAATGCTGATTTTATTTTAGAATTTAACTATGGGATTATAATGGCATTTTTTCCTAAATAAATATAAGTTGCAATTTTCCCGCTTTTCTCCTCACTGGACGATTTTTTCCCCCATATGGCTTAAGCATGAATACAGGTATCCAGCAGGGTGTAGGTAGGCACAGTACGCAAACAAGACCAATTCCCAGGTTAAAAAAACTTGACTTGTGAACTGAACTGACTTTCCCCCTCTCTGTTTATATCACCTGATTATTGAACATCCCTTACGTGTGTTAAGGTGTTTAATCTGTTGAACTTAGTGGGGCGCCTAATGTTCACGTGATTCCATTATCTTTTGTAAACGAGAGCTTGATTTACATACTATTTGATTATGTTATATCTAACATATGATAAGCGTATGATCACAGTCAACGATTTATGTATAGACTCCTCGAAAAAAACAACAACTCCGAATTGAATATATTATTAACCAAATTTTGGGTATTCGTTTGGATGACTTTGTATGCTTTAATAAAGTTATCATTTTATATACCTGAGATGTCCGTTTTATTGATGATGGGCCGTCAACAACAGGCGGGCGGGCGGTTTGTGTACATCAGTTGTAAGAGCGATGTTTTTGGGGTCAATTCAATACTTGCCTGATTCCCAGGGTACACCGGTCACGCTGTTGTCCTCACAAGAAAGGGGGAAAAACCTGTGTGTGTGCGAGAGAGAGAGAGAGGGGGGGGGGATATGATGTTAAGCCACTCGTCTTTAAGCGAGTACATTAAACAAGACCGTACACTAAACATCAACATTTTAAATCTTTGCAAAATGTTTTAATATATTAACTATACGCTTCAACAGCTAAAGTCTTTACGCACGATTTCTCGAATAATAAATAACTGAATTATTATTAATTAAAGAATACGGGCAGGGCAGTCCCTAGGAGGGTGCGGGGCCCCGGGCAACTCAGCCACTGCAGGGCCCCAGATTATGTGGTTAGAGGAACCCACCCCCCACCACCCCCATGGGACTGTCACTATGGATGGTAAGGTCACGGTTGCGTTGGTGGCGTATAGTGAAAAGATTGTACGGTAAATATTCTCCTCTTTCTGAAGATGTAAGAATGTATATAACGTTCTCAAACACTTAACTCTAAACTACTATACTATAATGAAGTACAAAAATATCATAAACTTAACGGAGATATTTTCACTTAACGAACACATTGTTTCCGAGATACGATGTCAATTTGTTAAAAAAAATATCGAGACAATGTGATAATTAAATATATGTCATGAGGACTTGGGTACATTCTCACTACCAAAAACATTACTTATACATCAACTGAATTTAAGGATACTCTGGTAATCCGTGGCATATTTTTTTTAACCAATATTAAAAATAAAATAACAGTTACCAAATTCACTCTCACTATCTCCCTTCTTCCTCTGCGTTCTTCCCTTCCCATTCTTACCATATACCATTACTGTAACAACATTTAACAGTAGTGTTTAGATATGTAATGTAACTGAATATTTTTTGTAATTACTGTATACAATGGACAATTTCTGATGTATGGACGTGAAGTGGCAGCTCGCCGTTACGTAAGAAAGCGCGTGTCGCTGGGTTCATA